AACTGTGCAGATTGGAATTACCATGGTAGCAAAGAGAATGAGAAAGTGATGCTCGTGAAGAAGACAGGGGAGGTAGAATCTACGGGAGCGTAGCAAGCACCTACAAGTGAAAGGAATGGAAGTTGGCTTCTAGTAATCAAAACAAGGGCTCTTGGAGAATGGCAGAAAAGAAAAAGATGGAAAGATTTCTAATTTAGATTCTGAAGAATCATCAGAACCACTTTAATAAAAGATGAATCTACTGCAGCATAGATGCACAGATAGCCATTATCATGATCACCACCACCGCCAGCAATAGCCAACTTATGAGTCCTGGCTTTCATTCTTCCACCATGGCTTTTTGTTGAGATGGAGTTTCACTGTTGTCACCCAGGCTGGAGTGCAATGGTGTGATCTTGGCTCACTGCAACTTCTGCCTCCTGGGTTCAAACGATTCTCCTACCTCAGCCTCCCGAGTAGCTGGGATTACAGGCACCCACCACTGAGCCCAGCTAATTTTTTGTATTTTTAGTAGAGATGGGGTTTCGCCATGTTGGCCAGGCTGGTTTTGAACACCTGACCTCAGGTGATCCACCCTCCTCAGCCTCCCGAAGTGCTGGGATTACAGGCGTGAGCCCTGTACTGACCCCACCACTACTTCTTCCATCAGTGATGGACATAGAAGTAAAATAACATTTCCACAAATGCAGAGGGCAAGAACCATCTATCCTGCCAACATATGCCTCTTTATTAATTTATTTTTTTGCAGAGCTTTGCTCTGTCATCCAGGCTGTAGTACCATGGCATGATTATGGCTCACTGCAGCCTGGGACTCCCAGACTTAAGCCATCCTTGCATCTCAGTCTCCCGCGCAGCAGGACTGCAAGTACACACCACCATGCCCGGCTAATTTTTCTATTTTTTGTACAGAGAGAATTCTCCCTTTCTTGCTCAGGCTGATCTTGAACTTCTGGGCTCAAGCAGTCCTCCCACCTCAGCTTCCCAACGTGCTGGGATTACAGGCATGAGCCACAATTTATGCTTTAATGTAAGGTGAGTCAGCAACAGCAAAATTGTTAGCACCCCCTTTTGTTCATCCTGCAAAGTCCCATCTCTCTGTGTTAACCTAGAAATCCATACTGTGAGCATATACTTCTTGAGTCTACATGAGTAACTTCTTTTAGAGCCAGATAGTGTTGATGGGTTAGAAAAGGAAGCAAAAGAATCGGGAAGAAAAGGCGAAAGTTACATAGCAATAGAAAAATTCCTTTGTTGCCAGGCAGTGGCTCATGCACGTAATTCGAGTACTTTGGGAGGCTGAAGTGAGGAGTTTGAAACTCAGGCCAGGAGTTTGAAACCAGCCTGGGTGACATAGTGGCACCCCATCTCTATAAAAAATATAAAACTTAGCCAGGCATTGTGGCATGTGCCTGTAGTTCCAGAGACTTAGGAGGCGAGGCAGGAGGCTCATCTGAGCCCAAGAGTTCAAGGCTGCAGGGAGCCAGGATCGTGCCACTGACTCCAGCCTGGGGGGAGACTCCGTCTCAAAAAAAGAAAAGGTAAATTCCTCTTTTCTTACGTTAAGTCATTGGTGTTACGTATGGGTTTTTTTGTTTGTATTTTTTTGTTTTTTGGGGGGTTTTTTTGTTTTGAGACGTAGTCTTGCTCTGTCGCCCAGGCTGGAGTCCAGTTGCGTGATCTCGGCTCACTGCAACCTCTGCCTCATGGGTTCAAGCGATTCTCCAGCCTCAGACTCCCAAGTAGCTGGGACTACAGGCGCGTGCCACCACGCCCAACTAATTTTTGTATTTTTAATAGAGATGGGGTTTCACCATGTTAGCCAGGATGGTCTTGATCTCCTGACCTCATGATCCACCCGCCTCGGCCTCCCAGAGTGCTAGGATTACAGGCGTGAGCCACCGCACCCGGCGTCATTGGTGTTATGGAAAGGGAGAAACTTGGAGGTTGTTATTTCCGAGAAGCTGTTAGTATTGCATTGTCATCATTTCCATGTTTCAAGCCCTTACTCAGTGCCCTGCTGTGGCTGTTAATTGGTCAAGGAGTTAAGAGTATTAAGTAAATCTCTTCTTGAACAGCTGGCTCTAAGAGAAGATAGAAAATAGAAGTTGCAATCCTCCTTCTTTGAGGTTACTCTCCAAAATGAGCAACTCAGACACAAAGGATCATTTAGAAATAAGAGACTAGAGACTATTCTTGGATAATGGACACTAACTGACTTAAAGTAAAAATAAATAGATACATGTTTTTATCATGTGAGAGTAAGTAGGGGTGTGCTGGTAGACCTGAATGGAGTGGTTCGGAGAATTCTGTCTCTTCCCTTTCATCAAGTTATTCTGGGTGGCCTTCAACAATGCCATCTATAAAACTGTGAAGATCTATTAGATCGAGTGCCTGGGCGTTGCAAAGTGATCTGGAGATAGGTGGAGAGGAGAACTCTACTCCAGAAGGGAGATCTATTGTTGGGGGAATCCGTTTCTGTGAGGCAAGTGTTTCTCAGTGTGGTCCTCAAAATATGTGCATTCGAACTACCAGAACAGCTGATAAATGCAGGCCTCCTGATTCAGATTCTGATTGAGTAGGTCAGGAGTTTGAACCCAGCCACAGGTGAGTCTCAGGCAACTGAACTTGAGAAGCACTGCAAGTCTTTGTCCCAGGCCCTCTCGTCCCCACCCACCTCTATAATAGCTCTCGTGTCTGCAATCATGTATTTAAATACACTTACTGAAGGTTGGGCATGGTGGCTCACACCTATAAGCCCAGCACTCTGGGAGGACAAGACGAGTGGATTGCTTGAGGCTAGGAGTTCGAGATCAGCCTGGGCAACATGGTGAAACCCTATCTCTACAAAAGTTGACCTTGCTAATTTTGTGTGTGTGTGTGCGTGTTGTTTTGAGACAGAATCTCACTCTGTTGCCCAGGCTAAAGAGCAGTGGTGCAATCTCGGCTCGCTGCAACCTCCACCTCCTAGGTTCAAGTGATTCTCCTGCCTCAGCCTCCTAGTAGCTGGGACTGCAGGTGTGTACCACCAAGCCTGGCTATTTTTTTTTTTTTTTGTACTTTTTAGTAGTGATGGGGCTTCGCTGTGGTAGCCAGGCTGGTCTCAAACTCCTGACCTCAGGTGATCTACCTCCCTCAGTCTCCCAAAGTGCTGGGATTACAGGCGTGAGCCACTGTGCCTGGTCTGCTAATTTTTTTATTAGCTGGGATGCCAAGCAGCCTTCCAGCTAGTCAGGAGGCTGAGGTAGGAGGATCATTTGAGCCCAGGGAGACAGAGGCTGCAGTAAGCCATGAGCATACCACTGCACTCTAGCCTGGGTTACAGAGTGAGACCCTATCTCAAAACAAACAAACAAGCTTACTGAGTCTCTGTGCCAAGCTTTGCTCTAGTCACTTAAGATACAGGAGAGACCCGAACGGACCACATCCCTGCCCTCATAGGGCTTATGGGCTAGTGAATAAGACAAAGAATAAACAAATAAGTGTGTAATAAATATGCAATATGGCCAGGCGCAGTGGCTCACACCTGTGATCCTAACACTTTGGGAGGCTGAAGCAGGTTGATCACCCAAGGTCAGGAGTTCGAGACCAGCCTGGCCAACATGGCAAAACCCTGTCTTTACTAAAAATACAAAAATTAGCCAGACATAGTGGTGTACACCTGTAGTCCCAGCTACTTGAGAGGCTGAGGCAGGAGAATCACTTGAACCTAGGAGGTGGCAGTTGTAGTGAGCCAAGATTGCACCATTGCACCCCACCCCGAACAACAGAGCAAGACTCTGTCTCGAGAATAAATAAATAAATATTCAATATGATGATAAACACTGTGGGGAGGGCTGGTGGAGTGCTGTTGTACATGTCATAGAGGGTTCTCTGATAAGGGGCATTTGAGCAGGAACCCAATTCTTCTAAGTTCCCTGAGACCACCAATGGTTTGCCCATTCACCCAATCTCTAAATGTATTCATTCGCCAATATTAATTGAGGGCCTCTTGTGTGCCAGGCAAATCTGTCCAATATCCCCTACGTGGCCCCATGAGGGAGGCTTAAATTTCATTCCCTGGAATTCTCAGCAGTTCCTCAGGGTTTCACTGGTCCCTTACACGCCTGGTCCCTTACACGCCCTTATGTTCTATGACCCCTGCCCACCCACCTCCTGCACTTCAGCTCACTGCTCTGAATCTGTCACTTCCCAATCAACATGGAGCATCGAACATCACGCTCTTCATATGACACAACCTAGCAGAAGGTTTGGTGAGGGTCCTATGTTGCCTGAGTCAAGGGAGCTACAAGGAGCAGTGAAAGCTGTGAATAGTGATACATTTCTTCATGTCCATGCTAGCTCTTCTTGTGGTTAAGCAAGATCCTGGAGTCAGTAGCTCAAATAAAAAATGGTTAAAATGTGTGTGCTTTGGTGGATGAAGAGGCTGAGCACAAGAGGAAACTAAAATTGCTGACTACCCCTAAGTCAGACTGCGTGTAAGTGGTTTGTTTATATCATCTCATTTAATTGCTACGACAATACTGTGAAGTTGGTAATAAGCCCATTGTCACAGATGGACAACTGAGGCTCAGAGAGCTTCAGTACCGCATGTCTAAGGCTGCATAGCCAGTGATGGGTAAAATGAGGATTCAAACCTACATTTGAGCCTGAAGCTCCTTGTTTTCTTCCACCAAGTGAATTAAGAGTTTGTAAAGGCAAAAATTCTAAACGGTGCATCTTGGGTTCACAGAAATCATGATGACTTTGCCAGCAAAAGACTTGGAGGAGTGCTGAGTACACAGCCTCTCAATTCTAGGTAGGTCACATGTGTCAGTCAGTAGGTTGAGTTTATAACCGTCACATCGTGACCTGAACACCCTCCCACCCCACTGCTGAACTACCTAGATAAAATCTGGCAGGGCTGATATGTAACTACCTTAGACAGGTATAAGGGAGGGGAAAATACAGACAGAAAGACAACAAAAGGCAAGCTTGCAAGAAAAACAAAAAACTGAACTCACCCCTGACGCATCTGATTCAGGCTTCTGCAAAACTACCAGATGCATGCTGACCAAACTCATGATTAAGAAATGCAAGGAATCGGATGCTGTCTTGGGCTGAAACAAAGCAAAACAAAAAAGAAATGCAAAGAAAACTTAGCTCCGTGGAGCTGTCCTAAATTCATTTACCATGCTCGAGCTTGTAACGCTGATCCAAGTGACTCCCAGTAGCGTTCTGTTCGTGCTCACCTTGTTCTCTCTAGGTATGTGCCAGGTGATAAGATACACTGTCTAGGTTCTTCAGACAGGCTTATTTCTCCCTGGGACCCAGAAAATTCCGACTACCTGCAGTGTGCAAAGGCAGGTGGCCAGGGAAGGATGCTGGCGCCAGGTCCTGGGGCCCCTCCCTGGAGGGAACAAATACCTCTCGGATTGCAGCTGCAGAAATGGAGAGGAGAATCGGGGAATGGGATGGTGGCTGCAGAGGCAGTGGTTTGGACAGTGACTGGGTGACTCATGCCCCAGGCAGCTTTTTACAGGAGTTGCAGATTCCAGTAATAGCAGATCAGGAACATTTCTCAAGGGACATCCTACCAATCGAAGGTGCCTCTTGCACCATCTTGGCAGCCCTGAGTTGGCATCTGAACAGCTTATCTATCCGGATCCTTTGCCGGATCCCAGAGGTTTTCCTTGCTTCAGCTCCTGGGCTTCCTGAAACTGGGAGGCTCTGCTGCCCTGAAGTTGGAGGAACTGGGTAATATTTAATGTCTATAGACACCACACCTGAGTCTCATCCCTGCTACTCCAAATAGTGGTGCTATTTCCTTGTCCTGTGTCCTGGATGGTGAATAGAGTATCTTGTGTCCTTCCAAAAGACACTCTATAGCCACCTCCTCTCTGTGCTAGGTTTCTGGAGGTGACTGTAGACCCCATCAATGAATGCTCTCTCTCTGGCCTGTAACTCGAAGTTGGGTATACCCTACAAGCAGCCCTGGCAGGAAGTAAAAAGTCGGGAGGAGAGTGAGGCCGTTTCTCCTGGCTTTCTCTTTGTGGAGTCACCACAAGCTGACTGTGTCTCTTATGAGAATAATCCAGCCCTCTGTAAACAATATAGGTCTCTCCAGGTTCTGGTAGCCTTTCTTTGTCCATTCAGGCCCAAGGGGATAACATCTCCCCTGTGCCTAGTTTCCCCCTGTTATTAGTCTGTTACTATTCTGTTACTAGTCTGGGGAAAGTATCCATATCCTTCTTGGAGCTTTCTTCAACCCTGCTCAATCTCTTTATTAAACCTTCAGGCTGGGTATGGTGGCTCATGCCTGTAATCCCAACACTTTGAGAGGACAGGCAGGAGGATCGCTTGAGGCTAGGAGTTCAAGACCAGCGTTGGTAACATAGCAAGACTACATCTCTACAAAAAAATTTAAAAAATTAGCCAGGCATGATAGCCCACCCCTGTGGTCCCAACTTAGGAGGCTGAGGCTGAAGAATCACTTGAGCCCAGGAGTTGAAGGCTGCAGTGAGCCATAATTGCACCACTGCATTCTAGCCTGGGTGGCAGAGCGAGACCTACCTCTAAAAATAAATGAATAAATAGCAAGCCATCTTCAAAGGACCCAATGTGGAAGCATATCATCGCCCCACTGCTGGACACCGGAGTGATACTCATGGTTTCGATAGACGCAAACCTCACCCGCCTCTCCTCACTCCTGCTATTGCTGTTGCCGTAGCTATGTGAAGCAACAAGATCCAATCCTTGTTAAGGATCATTTGGAGGGGTGAGCAGACTCTATGCTATGCCACTTAGAATAAAACCCAGGTTCCTTACCATGGCTTAAAAGGCCTGAGCTGTCCCTCCAAATTCCTCTCCCTCCACACACTCCCCCTCGTCTGTCCCAGACACAACGGGACTTTTGCCATGATTGAAGCTAAGCTTGTTCACACATATAAGCCTTTGCACTTGACATTTCTTCCTTCCCTCTGCCTGCTACCTGGGCTCCTGGGTGAGGGATTCCCATAGGTTGTCAAGTTTAATCCTTCCTCCTGCAAACTTGAGGCGGACTCTCTCTCTCTCTCTTTTTTTTTTTTTTTTTTTTCTGGCATTGTGTTCCAGGAGCTGCAAAACTCAAGTGTCTTTGGAACATGACAGGTAACAGAAGCACGAGAAGGAGCCAAGACTAATAAAAATCATTCAGCCCTCTTGGTCTGGCTTTTGTTTTTCCCCTTTTGACAGAGACGTGGAAGCAGAGAAATATTTCCTTACTATAAACACTCACACACACGTGCGCGTGCGCACATTCTCATACACATACTTGTAAGCAGTGCAAAGAAGGAGTGAGTACCAAGTGACAATTGCCACTGATGCCGGAGAGCAAGAGGGACAGGGTGAGCACTGCGGCAAACCACACACCAGCCAATTTGCTGTTTTGCAGAAATCTGACCCAAGGTGGCCAGATATTGCTGTTTTCCAAGAGACGCTGAAAATCTAGATTTTTATATGGTGTCTCCTAATTTTCAAATGTTGGCAATTTTGAAAACCCTTCACACTAAACGTATTTTTGTGCTGGATTTAATGCAGAGGCTGACAGCATATAATCACTGCTATATGTTCAGTGGGCTTAGCATAGTATATGCTCAATAATTATGTGCTGAATAAAATGAATAGTCTTCCCAGTTGACTTCTCAGCATTTAGAAGTAGCTGACGGGTAGTTCAACTCTCCTCTGTTTGGAACATTTTTAAAAAGTAGATTCAGAATGGGAGGGAGCTTCTTCATTATACCTGGAAGCTTTAAGGTATATCTGCTCCTGGACTCAGGCGCAACCCATCAGAAATTTCTTGAAGATTTGATTTCTGTATCACTCAGCCTGGAGCTGGTGTATGAATCAGTAAGCATTGACATAGCCATGTCTCTTTTTTGCAGCCAGCATCCGTTCTGATGGCTGGCACCATGGTGTACAGATTGTTAAGTAATTTTAATATCACCCCCAACTGGGTGCAGAAATGGAAACCTATTACTGGTCATAGTCTGTTACCACCAAGAAAGCCTCACGGAGGTGGGAAATGACACACATTGTCAAAACAAGATCTAGTTCACTTAGGTGTTGAATTCTATTCCAGGTTTTATAGAGGGCTGATTCTCTCAAATATCTTATTGGAACCTGGCCATGCTTCTCATTTCTGTTTTCCCATCTGGGAGACACACAGACTCTCACACCTGGTTTCCGTGCCTAGCCAAAGCTATTCCAAGTCTCCTAGAGAACATGGAATGACGAGACATCCTGATAAAGGTAATGAGGTGGAACAAGTGCAGGGTGACCCGGTGGAAGGCAGTGGTGGAAACAGGTGATGGCTTTGGGAAGAGGTTCTATTTAATTCACTTGCCCCAGTGTATAAAAGCAAGCTTTCCCCCAGGCTTCACAAACAGCAGGCTCATGTCTAGCTCTACCTCCTTGCACGGTAAGCAGGAAGTTCATCGTCTGTTCAAATGCTAAATAGATGTTAGCAGCACTTTATTGGATCAGCTCAAGGTGATTTCTATCTGTTCCTGGAACACATTCATCATCTTATAACACGTGTGTGTGGCTCTGCTTTCTGGACAGATAGGATTACTCATGTGCATGTGCCAACCAACCGAATTAAATCATCCAATGTGATAAACCCATTCGGAGGGCTATTCCCTAGAATTTATTCTAGGCAAACTTATTCCCCAGAATTTGTGGCTCAGTTTTAACTTCATGTTTCTCAGAGCAAAGCTTCCCAACTTTTATCTGGGGTAGCCTAGGGCAGTGGCTTACAAACTTATTTTAGTCCTAGGATCTTTTATAATACCTTCCAAATACAGAGGCCAATATATAAAGCTGAGAAAGGTCAAGCAGATCAGAGGGAAGAGGTGGGAGACCTGGGCACTTTCTCTGCTTCTCTCTCTTGTTGCCCACGCACGAGGACTTCCAGGAACCTCTTGAAACAGCTGCACTTGTAAATCTCCAAATAGCTCCAGTTGTGTTGGAAACTCACAGCTCCAACTTTCAAAAACCAAGGGTTAATTTTACTGTGTCAAATTGCCTTCTTATGATTTATCATCTCATAATATTTCAAACATTCCTAAAGAAAAATGGAACAAATATTTATGTACCCATCACTCAATTTTATCAAATCTTAACATTTTTCCGTGGTTATTTTTAAAGGAGTAAAATATTATAATACTGTCGAAGCCGCTTTATATGCTGCTCCCAAATCTCATTCTCCTTTCCTTCTTCCTTCCTCCCCAGAAATAACCACTACACTGAACTCGTATTGATCATCTGAATGAAAGATTTTTCCTATAAACACATATTAATATATACATTTTCCCCTAGTGAGAATATATATGTATATGTGTACACACACACACACACACACACACACACACACACAGACACAGCCAGACGCAGTGGCTCATGCCTGTAATCCCAACACTTTGGGAGGCAGAGACAGGAGGACGACGTGAGCCCAGGAGTTTAAGGCCAGCCTGAGCAACATAGTAAGATCCCATCTCTACAAAAGATAAAAAAATTAGCCATGTGTGGTGGCACATGCCTGTAGTTCCAGCTACTCAGGAGGCTGAGGTGAGCCCAGAAGGCTGAGGCTGCAATGAGCCAAGATCATGCCACTGCACTCCAGCCTAGGCAACAGAGCAAGATCCTATCACCAAAAAAAGACCAAAAAAAATTAATGTTACAAATACCAATCTGCAATTTGCTCTTCTAGCTCAACATTGTGTTTTGGAGATTTATCCATCTTGATGCATGTAGCTCTGGCTCATACACTTTACTACATCAAACTGTGTTGTATAAATCTGTGTGTGAAATTTTTCACAGAATGTTGTAACGAACATTCTTCCGTGTATCTACTCTGAAAACTTCTCTAGGACCGAGCATAACGCGCACACACACACACACACACACACACACACACACACAAAGTAAAACAAAAGTTTCACAAAATAATTGCCTTACTACACTTTCAGAAACATTCTCATAATGTATATCGTAGTTTTTTTTGAAATCAGGTTGACATTTCCATTCCTAGTTTGCTGAGAGTTGTTCATCATGAATCGGCATTGAATTTTGTCAAATTCTTCTTTTTTCACAAATAAGACTTTTCATTTGCCCTTTATTATAAGTCTGAGCTTTAAACAGATTCTTGGACTGGTGGTTCAGATCCATCAGCTTGTTTATCTTTAGCTCCCGTCCTGCCCTCTGTGGCTTTTCCAGAACTGCTTCCTTCACTATGAAGCTCCATGAGTTTTCCCAATTCAAACCTGGGCTTCTTCAGCATTTGAAAATATTAAATCAAAACATTACAAAAAATGCTGAAGTTTCCCTTGCCGACTGCTCCCAGTTCCTTCTTCCTTCTTGGTGCCCCCTGAAGCTGTAACTCCGATGAATTTGGTGTGCCTCCCCTGAGGGATAGTCTTTGTATTTACAAACATGTAATATTTTGTATTTTATATAGAAGAACATACTAGTGTATTCTT